GCACCTTTCCCTCCCCTCTCAAACATGCACTAGTCACCCCCATACTTAAACCCTCAATGGACCCCACCTGTTTAAATAACTTAAGGCCCATCTCCCTACTCCTGTTAGCCTCCAAGCGTCTTGAATGCCTTGTCCACAACCACATGAGTTTGCTACCTCATTGACAACAACCTTCTCAATTCCCTACAGTCCGACTTCCGCCCACACCATTACACTGAAACTGCCCTATTAAAACTCACCAATGACCTACTAACTGCTAAAACCAATGGCCAGTACTCCATACTCATACTCTTAGACCTTTCTGTTGCCTTTGACACAGTTGACCACTCACTCCTCCTCAGTACATTCCACTCCCTTGTTCTCCGTGACTCTACTCTTTCCTGGTTCTCCTCCAATCTATCTCAGCGCATTTTTAGTGTCTCGTACAATACCATCTGCTCTGCTCCTCTTCTTTTTTCTGTTGGGGTACCCCAAGGCTCTGTCCTTAGGCCCCTCCTCTTCTCTCTCTATACCTCTTTCTCTGGGCCAGTTGATAACCTCCAAAGGTTTCCAATACCACCTTTATGCTGATGACACTCAGATCTATCTCTCAACTCCTCAACTCACCCACTCAATCTCCTTACATATCACAAATTTACTGAACTACATATCTGTATGGATGCCACACTACTTCCTCAAACTCAATCTTTCTAAAACTGAGCTTGTAATATTTCCTCCTCCCCGATCCCCTCCCCATGAATTTACCCTTGAGATCAATGGCACAACCATTGGTCCCTCCCCATATGCCAGGGTGCTAAGTGTTATCCTAGACTCTGACCTCTTCTTCAGCTCCCACGTTCAACCACTGGCCACATCTTCGACAAACCTCCACAACATTTTCAGAATTCGACCCTTCCTGATTCACGACACCACAAAACAACTTATTCACTCCTTGGTTATTTCCCACCTTGACTACTGCAACTCCCTCCTCACTGGCTTACCCCTACACAGGCTACCAATCACGTCACTGGCTTTCAGTAGGCCAACGTATAAAATTCAAAATACTGACCACAACATACAAGGCCATCCACAACATCCCCCCAGCTTCATCACCAACCTTCATCTGCAGATACCGCCCAAACCATCCTCTCTGCTCCTCCCAAGACCTACTGCTCTCCAGTTCCCTTGTTACCTCCTCTCATTCTCACCCCAAGGACTTCTCCAGAGCCTCACCAATCCTCTGGAACTCTTTGCCCCAGTATGTCCGGTTAGCTCCTACCTTGTCTGCCTTTAGATGATCCTTGAAAACTCATTTATTCAGGGAAGCCTACCCCACCTCCACCTAAGAAATGTATTTGAGTCACCTCTATCAAATCATCCACTGCAGATATTACCTTTTGTACCACCTCCCCTTCCCTTTAGATTGTAATTTCCATGAGCAGGGCCCTCCAATTCCTTCTATATCGAACTGTATTGTAATTGAACTGTCCCGCTTATATTGTAAAGCACTGCGTAAACTGTTGGTGCTATATAAACCCTGTATAATAATAATAATAATAACCACCTTGGCAAAACCACCCATATGAAAGAGCAACTAAAAAAGCAACATCAATAGTTGTCAGCTCAGTCTCTCTGATAACCAGGTTGTTGCAGCTGGTGTTCCAGATAGTATACAAAAGGGTTTGTGGGTTTTTCAGGCAACAGTGGATTATTAAACCTATTTATAGTTGCAGCCTTCATTAATAAATTAATGTGCAAAGTTCAAAGGAAACAAAATTTTTTTTTAAAGAGAATAATAATCCCCTTTTTAACCCTTCCGTAGTATAAATTAGTATTAACTCCTTTCTCCCCTTCTTCTTTTAGCTATTTTTCTTTATTACTGTCCTTACTTCTTTTACCATTCATATGTATGTAATCTGCATGTATTTATTTTTTTCTGAAGCTTGTTAAAAAAAATATGCTTTGACCAGGAAGATAATGTACGTGACTTTGGAAAAACGGCCAAATTGTAAAATAGTAGCCAGATGAATTAATGTATTTTTTACGACAATATCAGATCTGTTTCCCCATGCTTATTATGACTAAATGGCACAGGTTTAATCATATTGCAAACCCACTCCCCCCCCCCCATTCCAATTGTTTTTTCAAGGACCAAAAACATGTAACAATAGAGCAGGTAAACAGTGTTGTCATTGCACCCTCCACCACTGCACTTTAGTACATCTACGCACGCATTCCTCTTTCCAGCAAGTTGTAATGATGCACTACAACAGCCTCTGTGGTAGCTGGTTGGCTGATTATGTTATGATGGTCCTCATGTATTTTACATGGGGGGGCTTTTTTTGAGCATATCTTAGGTGTATTTCTCTTCTCTCACTCCTGTGAGTAACCTCTATTATGAGACTAGCGTGATCTCAATCCTCCTTTTCTTTGTTATGGATTGCTACTTGCAGGCATGTGTGTAATACAGTATGTGTTTGATGTCAAGGTATATGTTTGGAAAAAATGGAATGGCATCATGCAATTCTTCTTTACTCAGAATGGGTCTGAATTTTATCTATTTGTGTGTATATTGATACATCTACAACATGTGGGCATCAAAGGCACATGGAGATTATGAGAGAAATTGAAAATTCCATGTAACATTTTTTTCACTCTTTACTGGCTAAAATCCAGGAACCTGCTTACACTGATCACAGATGTATTATGCTGGTGTGGTAAACTCAGACTAGGATCAACCTAGTACTCACCTGAGGCTTTCCTGTAAAACTAATTTAATGTCACTAGCTAATGTTAATTGTATTAAAATAAACCCTTATTGGACTTCATCCCTTATTAAGTATAGACTTGTTTTATTATTATTTAAAATTAATAACAATAAAGTTATCTAACACAAACCAAATCATGCAAAAATTCACTTGAACTGTAGAAGCCTGTTTAGATTCCTATCATACTAACCAGTGAGGGGCTTCACATTTTTTATTACAGTTTTATTATAGCTTACAGCACAGTGTCTACATTGCACCATTCATTGGCAAGGACAACATTTTTCAGATAGTGCCTAAACCTCCATTGCAGTGAGGTTTACCAAAAGTGAAACTATGAAATGGGCCTGAGTACCCATGATTTGTCCCTAGTCTTTATTGCTAATTAAATTAATGTTTATTTGTGTATTTATTTTTTGAAGGCCATACTTCTTGACAATATTCATGGAATGCCTGAATTAACTGCATTTATTTATTATTTATTACAGGTACTTATATAGCTCTGTCAATGTACGCACCACTTTACATATATATTTGTACATTCAATCACTCCCTAACCCTCAAGGAGTGTACACTCTAAGGTTTTTATGTCTAATTTAACCTTCCTGGTTTAAATCCCGAGTGTGGTTCAGGGTTAATTTACAGTACCACAAGTGGTAACCCCGAGCCACACTCGGGATTACACTGTAGTGCTTCTCCTGTGATACCCCGATCCTTACCTTGTCCTGCGATCCCACGACGTCCTCCCGCTGTGTCCTCCGGCCTATGCTGGTATCCATTTTCTGGGTTCCGTTCCCTGTGAGCGTCGGGACTCAGGGGGACGAAACCGGCGGAAAATTCAAAAAAGTTATAATATGACTTGCACAGAATACATTGTAATCTATTAGGATTACATTACTGTATCAAACCATTTCACCTCAGGTTTGTCCCTAGTGCTTTGTCCAGTGCCCTGCCTGCAGTTTTACCATTCTTTCTGCCTGGAAACTTGAGAAAGTCCATGACATCCAAAAAGCGTCTCTTTAGGCCAAAATCAGTTTTAGACCAGCTAGAAGACAGCAACAGTGAATTAGAATCACTAGTAGAATTGAGCGATACTGATTTGTGGGGAAATTCATCATCAGACACTGAAAGTGATGACAGGGACGATTCTGCGACTGAGTTAAGTGATGTGTGAACTTGGTGCTTTATTTACTGTGGCGGATGTTGAACATGACAACCCCTTGGCATACTTACAATTATTTATGCCTGATGAGGTTATTGAAAAAATAGTTACTGAGACAAACCGGTACCAAGAGCAACAATTGGCTACTCTGCATCTGAGGTTTTCAAGAAGGGGAACCTGTGACCAAAGATGACATTTGGAAATTTCTGGGCCTAATAATACTTCAAGGAGTGGTGGGGAAACCCCTGCAGAAGTGGTGTGCTATGGAGATACACCTAAGATACACACAAAAAAGCCCCGTAAAATACATGAAGAGCATCATATCATAATCAGCCAACCAGCTACCACAGAGGCTGTCGTGGTGCATCATTATACCTGCAGAAGTGGTATTGGACAACTAATAAATTACTTTCCACTCTATTTTTTGACACAGTCATGTCAGAGTACAGTTTTTCCCAGATCATTACATTTTTACACTTTGAAAACAACGAAGAATTTGATGAAACTACTCATCCTGCACCAAAACTAAAGAAAATTTGGGAAGTATCTCAAATGATTCTAACAAATTTCCAACAGAGCTATGTGCCAGAAAGAGATATCAGTATAGATGGAAGTCTAATGGCCTACAAGGGAAGGCTCAGCTGGGTGCAATACATTGCATCAAAGAGAGCACGATTTGGCATAAAATCCTACATGCTATGCGAATCGTCAACTGGCTACATTTGGAATTCAGTCATATACACTGAAAAAGGAACAAAATTCAATCCAAAATACAGCAACTATGGAATGGCAACATCATCCATTCTTTCACTAATTGAGCCATTGCTAAATCAGGGCTATTGTGTAACAACCGACAACTTTTATACGTCTCCTGAACTTTATGAGTTTCTTCTGCAAAACAAAACAGATTCCTATGGAACCATTAGGGCTAACCGGTGCGACATGCCGCCACTGTTTGGCAATAAGAAGACTGGAGAAATGGTTGCCTGGCAGAAAGGCAAAAAGATGGAGAGGAGAGCTGGTAATTGGCATTGCTCAGAGGGGACATGTACACAGACCATCAGGGCACTGATGATCAGTGTGCCCTGATGATCAGTGTAGCCCCATCAGTGTCACCTGTCAGTGTCCATCAATGCCACCTGCCAGTGCCCATCAGTGCCACATCAATGGCACATATCAGTGCCGACCAGTGCACATCAATGCCACATATCAGTGCCCATCTGAGCTGCCTTTCAGTGTCACCTATCAGTGCTGCCAATCAGTGCTGCCTATCAGTGCCAGGCAGTGCCGCCTATCAGTGCGCATCAGTGCTGCCTATCAGCACCTGTTAGTGCTGCCTATCAGTGCCGCCTAACAGTGCCAGTCAGTTCCGCCTAACAGTGCCAGTCAGTGCCGCCTATCAGTGCCATATATGAGTGCTGCCTTTCAGTGCCCATCGGTGATGCTTGTCAATGCACATCAATGCCACATATCAGTGCCCATCTGAGCTGCCTTTCAGTGCCACCTATCAGTGCTGCCAATCAGTGCTGCCTATCAGTGCCAGGCAGTGCCGCCTATCAGTGCGCATCAGTGCTGCCTATCAGCACCTGTTAGTGCTGCCTATCAGTGCCGCCTAACAGTGCCAGTCAGTTCCGCCTAACAGTGCCAGTCAGTGCCGCCTATCAGTGCCATATATGAGTGCAGCCTATCAGTGTCCATCAGTGCAGCCTATCAGTGCCCATCACTGCAGCCTCATTAGCACACATCAGTGAAGGAGAAAAATCACTTATTTACAACATTTTATAACAGGAACTAAGAAAAAAACTTTTTTTTTTTTAATTTTCAGTTGTTTTTGGTTTGTTTAGCAAAAAATAAAAAACCCGGAGGTGATTAAATACCACCAAAAAAAGCTCTATCTGTCTAAAAGAAAAATGATAAAAATGTCATATGGGTACAGTGTTGCATGACCGCGCAATTGTCATTCAAAACTTTTTTTTTACGTTTTTCTGACCTCCGGAATGGATTAATTGGTTTTCAATGCATTCCTATGGGAAACCGCGCTTCGGTTTACACATTTTTTGCAAAACGAAAAGTCCCGCAGAACGAATTAAATTCGTAAACCGAGGTACACCTGTATATACCATCTTTTGTAGAAGCTATAACGTTCGCACAAACCAATGGATTTTTTTACCAAAGACATGTAGCAGAATACATTTTGACCTACATTTATGAAGAATTTATATATTTTTTTATTAGATATGTTTTTTACTAGAAAGTAGAAAATATTGTTTTTTTCACAAAATGTTTGGTCTTTTTGTCTTTTTTTTGTTTATATAATAAATTGAAAAAAAAACAGTGGTGCTCAAATAACACCAAAAGAATTCTCTGTGTAAAATTTATTTCGGGTACAGTGTTGCATGACCGTGCAATTGCCAGTTAAAAGTAGTGCAGTGCCTGGTCATGGCTTGACCATGAAGGGGGTAAAACCTTCCTGAGCTCAAGTGGCTAATAAGATGCATGCTCCATAGGAGATGCTAATCTTTGGCACCTATCCTGGAACACATGATTCTAATTTCATGGAATGAAATAGTGGTAAATGTAGGGGTGTATTTACTTTTTTAAATGGCAAAAGTGCATTTTCCTTAATTTATATTATAGTATTAAGTACACAGTGAATTGTATGTGTTCTTTTTTAAAGTGTAACATTTTTATTTGCCGGTATTGTCTTAATGAAGATTTAATGTACATACTATATGTATTCATTGTGAAATATAATAATACCTGTTCAAATATGTTAAAAAAGTCAAAAATTTCAATGGGGTGTACTTTATCTATCCTATCTATCCATCTATCCATCCATCCATCCATCCATCCATCCCATCCATCCATCCATCCATCCATCCATCCATCCATCCATCTATCTATCTATCTATCTATCTATCTATCTATCTATCTATCTATCTATCTATCTATCTATCTATCTATCTATCTATCTATCTATCTATCTATCTATCTATCTATCTATCTATCTATCTATCTATCTATCTCTCAATCCTGAATTGCTTTGAACAAGAACTGAAGTGTAGTACCATTAAATCTATGTTGCCCTCTGCTGGACAAACATCATACCGTTTTTTCAGTTCATGTAAATCCAACAAAAAAAAAGATTCATGGCACAAATAATGACTTGGTAATACAAAGAGCACCATTAATAAAAAGCAACATGATGCAGAACATATTTTTATTTTAAAAAAACATACAATTTTCATGATTAAAATAAAAATAGTAAGGTTTTAAAGATTTTATTTAAAATAAAAAACATTACATTTCTTCCCCAGGCTAGGCAAAAACTACTGCTATAATCTCAGTCAAATCTGAGCAATGACTCATTCAAACAATGCTCTAACAGATAAAAAAACAGCAATGTTCTTGCTGAGAAAGCCAGAGAAGAAGGGCACTTTCACACAACTTAATTGTAAATGATTGGCTTGCTTTTATGAGCTTAGAAAAGAGCTTTTCCAAGCCATCTGGTTCTTTATATAGGAGGGGAAGGTGCCATATGAAAATTACATTAAGTAAAAACAGGGCTGAATTTGATAAGTATACATAAGTGATGGGATGAGAAAAAAACAGAGGCATTCACTATTCTAAAAATGGACAGTGGAAAATGCACAACATTCAAAACCAGAGCATTTATTTTACACTGACGTCTTGTTTCCCAGTGGAAGAAGTCTTGTCATCTTCAGTATGGGTTGTCCTAACAAAGCCAGATACTCTAAAACGTCAATTGAAGATACAACTGAAAGTAAAATCAATCTATCTACTGTGCAAGGTGGTATCAAAAAGTTTCAAGACTAGCTCTGTTTACAGGAAAGTACTTTATTTATATCTGTTATACATTATCACCTTCAAAATAGTCCCCTTGCACAGCAATATAGTGCTCCCAGCATTCCTGCCACTTCTGGAATGTGTCCTTGAAGTCTTCTCTTCGAAGCGTGTTAAGCACCTTCTGCTATTTGCACTGGTTCTCCGCAATGTTGACAAAATGGTGACCTTTGAGCTGGATCTTCATTTTTGGGAAGAGGGCGAAGTCCGCAGGAGCCAAATCTGGCAAGTAGGACGGGTGCGAAAGTGAGATCATTGCAGCCTGGGGACGAACTTGGCAGCAACACGACGCATGTTCAAATCACATTTGAGGATTGCCTGGACTGTTCCGTATTACACAACGACAAGGGTTGTGGATTGTTCTCCAACAATCATCATGTACAAGTTACCAAATGATTTCAACATTTTCGGGGGTTGAGCTTCTTGAAGGTCTTCCTGATCTCTCATTGTCTTCCAGCGATGTTCGTCCACTCTTGAAGTGCGCTGCCACTCAAAACACTTTGAACGTCTCGTTGCAGCATCACCGTAAACTTGCTGAATTGTGCCAAACGTCTCTGTGGCAGATTTACCCAGTTTCATGCACGGTTTCACGTTTGCTGTTTGTTTTAACTTGCTGCCCATGATGAAGATTAATGTGGGCAGGAGCAGGTGCATGGACCCGAATGCAGAGCCACAGCATTCAGATGTGTACAGCCGCTCCTGCTTGCATACCAAACTTTGATAATCATGTCCAAACTGGAGTTGCATGTACATCTACTTCTATAGGCTGCATGCATGCAGATCCAATGTGGATGCATCTGTTAGTGGTTCTGCATGGAGGATGGCACTAATCTGATGTCTGAATGAGCCCTTAAGAGGCTGAAATTAACTTATTTTACTGCCTAAATCTGTGTTTTATTGTCTGTGATATCTTCAAGGATTAGTGTGGTCAGTGTTCAAAGATTGGCACCATTACATATTGTAGATGTCTTAAAAGGTCAGCTCTCACCCATGACTGTGGGATGCCTAATTTACCAGGAAAGCGAGTGCTGTCCCTTTTAAATTATATTTAGCACTTTTCCTCCCACCTCTATACCACCACTTTCATATTGCTTGGTTGTTTACCTGGCAAATAGAGATAGTGCTCAACGCTCATATATACTGATAACTTAGAAATGCTCTTAATCAGAAAAACGTGCTTCTGACAGACATAGGAACAGGCAATATCACTCATTGATTTCAAACGATCTGTAGAAACCTAGTTGATTGCAAATAAATGATGGAAAAGGTGCTTTTCACTATTTTATTATGACATGCTCTAATCAGGACTTTTTATGGAGTCTGCAAGGTAAGCCGTTGTATTGGTAACCACAGGATCAATGGACTGCACCTTGAAATATGTGGACATAATGTACATATTTCTGTGTGCAGGATGTCAGGCATGACCTTCAGATAAGTTCATCATGGAGTTAAGTAAGCAGTTTAAAAGCGGTTGCATGGTAAAACAGCCTGCATATTTCTTTTTGTTTAGTTTGTGTTACTGAAGCACCAACATGTACGGACTGTTTCTGGTTTTGCTTAAAGAAAATCTGGAAAAGAATACAGTAAGTAAACATACAGACAACATGCCAAAAATGATTTTGATTAAAATTACAGAAATATGAGCACCGAAAAAAGCTCTTCATTGCAGTCACGGGATAAAATGTCATAAGCTGTTCCATTAGTTTCACTTTAAAGTGTTTCCTATAGGTCACCTCCCTGTCTCCCAGTTACATAGCCTGTCCCATGGTCATGGGATGAAATGCTGAAAATAGTAGTCGAAGTTAAAACATTCAAGGATAGTTTGGATAGGATACGTCAGTCCCAGGCTCAGCAACCTGTCTGTCATTCACTTTGCTAGGTAACCAGACTTTACTCCTGCAGGCCTACAGCTGAAGTCACTCAGACAGCTGTAAAGTAGACGGATATAGCCTTCTTGTATACTCATATATGAGATTAGACTGCTGTGCATATGAAACTATGAATGTTTAGAGTCATCAAGACAGCTAACACACATATGGTTACATACATATTTACATGCACACATCTGCACAGTTATGTTTCCATATGGGTGTACAGATGTGTGAGTAATACCATTTGTGTGGGTCTACAGCTGGTTGGTCTGCATGTGGGTCTACAGCTGTCTGAGCAATGGCTGAGGTGTGAGCAGGCCCCTAAATTTACACCTCAGAAATCTATAAACACAGAAAATCTTCCATCTTGAACCCTACCTTTCACGCTTCACAGTGTAAACTAAGCCCTGCTGTGGTGATGAAAACACAGAGACAAAAATGCTTAAATATTTGCACTTCAAATGAATATCCACTGTAAATAGTTCATGCTTTAAAAAAATTAACATTTAAAGCAATGGGTTTAATCCTTAGCAAGGACACTCATGGGGCTAGTATCATCTCTCCATGCATTGCCGCCTTTAAAGAGGGGCAAAAGCAGCTGCCCCATACTAGCCAACAGTTCTGGTTTATATTCCCTTGTCCCTTAAAGTCTTTGTCCTGTGCTGTGTACTGATATGTCAGTATGAAGTGCTGTCACTTATGCTGCCCA